CCCCCTCCCCCTCTTCCCCTATAAGCTCTTTCACAGAAGGAAATAGATACCTATGAAGTTTTGAGAGATCCATAAGTTTAAGCCATTTATACACCTGCTATGACCCAAATTCTATGAGACAAGCAGGCCTAAGAGAACGACACCTTATCGCCACTGTACCGATGCTGCGCAGTCTATTCTCACAGACCTGGTTTTTTGAGGATTTCGGATAATATTTTCAAATTTATATTATAGCGATCGAAGACAGACGGAAAGCGCTCGGTAAATTCCACGGGAAAGGCTGTGAGCAAAGAAGAAAAACGTTTCCCAAGTATGTTGTGCTTCGAAAAATTTTATTTATGGTTTTCATCGCAATAATTCAATAAGAACGTTAAGGGCGTCAAATGCTCAAAAAAGGACCGTCGATTTAAGCAATGTACCGGAGGATCTCAGCCACGTCCCTGGAGGAGATCTTTTTTTGCAGCTCCAGACGGATGATTTGCATTTGTATTTTTATACAGATATTGTTGAAGTAAGCAAATAATTCTGAAATTCAATTAAATCAATTTTGTTAAATATGCTTGTAGAAGGCGCGCGACGACGGGATGTACGCACTTATTGGGGACGGCGTTCATAATCTGAATCCTGTCACAATTCCAAATCGGATGGACAAAGGGCAGTTATATGTTCTCCACGCAGCTATTCAAGGCGTCATAGAGGTGACCACGGTTTTGCAGAGTTTCAAATTTTGAATCTTTTCTAAAATCTTTTTTTTAGAATTATGAAGTAATTTTTCCAGGTTCCAATCCTCTATGCCGTCACAAGGTACAAAACTGTGGAAACGTATAAGAGAATTTTTGAAAAACTCTGCGAGACACCGGGAGACTGCAACGACAGATTCATTTTGGACTTCGAAAAGGTACGCTCTTTCTTCCGTCATCTAATTTTTACGCAAATTTTTAGGCAGCAATTCGAGCAGCCAAGGAACGTTTCCACAAGCCAAAGTACAAGGATGCGCATTCCATTTGCGCAAGCGTGGAATAGGATGTCTGTGAACCTGGGTTTGAGAAAATTTGTGAGGGCCTAAGGCAATTTTAGCAGTGAAAAAATGGTGAAAATTCTGAAAGGGATTATTATTTTGCCTGAAGAACTTTTTACCAGGGTAACAGCTCTTATATCCCCGCCGGTAAGTGAGACACACATAGCGCATGCACCATGCCAAGATTTTCTTAATTATCTGAATAAAAATTATTTTAATGGCATTTTGAAGGCATATGGTGTAAATGGGACCTGCGCGATTATCGAACAATAAACGCGGCAGAGGCATTCCATAGGTAAAAACTCAACGTTTCAAACATCTCAAAGAATTTTATTTTAGTTAGTTACGAGGAATGCTTTCGAGGCGAATCTCTCCATTCGAGGAGCTTCTGGAGTGCTTGCATCGTATTAATTTGGCATTTGGAGCTCTCTATAATGTGAGCGAGGTGAGGTATTTGACAAAAGATAGCCTCAAATAAACATTTGCTAAATATACGTTTTTTTTTCCAGAATGCTAGCGCATGCAGGATTCTTCGCAAGAAGGACCAGGAACGCAGGAAACGCAGAAAATCGACCAAGCAATGGATGAGAAACAATTATATCTTTCCAGTAAAATTTGAGAAA